ATGTGAGCAAGTTCGAATTAGATGGGTATGCAACAGATTTGTGTTATACAAATGGGGTCCAAATGTGCTTTAGAAGATTCACAATAATGGAGTTGTGTGGGCCAGTAAGTTTGCAAGAGATAATATGTGATAAAGATGTCCTAAGACATGTTGGTGTGTAACATAATGGACCCACATATTTTGCAAGACATAATAATCACGAAAATCAAAAAACAATTCCAGGTTTCTGGAGTTATTTTGACGTGGTGGCATTTTCGTAATTGTTTTTGGAGGGGGTCTATAAGTTATGATTTATTGGTTAAAAGTTCGTGTTTTTAGCTTATAAGTTAGACTTCGCAGCTTCTCAGCCTAAGGGGGACTTCTCACATGATCTTTTCTATATATATATATAGAGAGAAAGAGAAGATCAGGTGAGAAGTCCTCCTTAAGATGAGAAGTGAGAAGTACTCTCAGTCCTTGGATTTACATCTAATCTTACAACGCAGCAAACTTATAGACTGAATATAGTAACTTATAACCAATAAATCATAACTTATAAAGCTCTCCATCTTAATTACGGAAATGCCACAACGTCAAAACATTTTCCAGGTTTGTGGAGTTATTTGGACGCGATGACATTTTCGTAATTATTTTCAAGAGGTCTATAAGTTATGATTTATTGGTTAAAAGTTTGTACTTTTAGCTTATAAGTTAGACTTCGCAGCTTCTCATCTTAATGACACTTCTCACCTGATCCGCTCCCTACACACACACACACACACACACACACACACACACACACATATATATATATATATATATATATATATATATATATGCTCTTAATGGATGTTATCAAACCAATACTTTTATTTTACAAGTTTTGTTTTGTAAATCCAAATGGTCTGTATATGTGAATGTATCTTTGTGAAACCAAATGTTTTATTAAACCTTGTTTTTCAGTATATGTGGATAACAAACTTCATAGTTCATACATTAAAGAACTTCACACAATGTTTTTGTTACAAGCATCAAACATTGTTGCATTACATTTCACATTACACAAAGCAAACACACTACAAATGAAAGTGAACACAATTACATCAGGTTCAGTCATTTCATCAAACACATTAACAACAACTTACACCTAAAACCTTCTACTTGCAAAGAAGATAAGAATTAACACGGCCACACAAAGTAGCTTCCACTTAAAAGCCAGCTTATCTTTCTTAGCCATCTTCAATTGCAGTTCCATGATCTACACCTTCAAGACACCAATTCCACGAACACAGCTCTTGATTTCACCCTCCATCTCCTTCTCTTTCCTCCGGACATGTTCTTCAACTCTTCCAACCTTCTGGAGAACCACATCTAAGTTCTCCTGACAAGTAAGACATGTGTCCTCCTCAACCCACTCAAAAAATTTGCATTGTTGACCACCCCCACTCGAATAACGCCCACAACCATGAAACCTTTTCCCTCTATTCTTCTCTGTTGTCATCATCCAAATTGGTGCTTGGACTCCACAATCGCACCTCTTCAGTTGTTGCCTTTCATCCATCGCAGATGAGCTTGAATTTGAAGAACTCATCTTTCTTCTTCACACCCTAAGCGTCTGTGGAAGATTTGTATACGGAGTTGTTATAGGGTTCAAGATTGGGATTCACATTACTTAATACTACGGATAATGACATGGTGCTTCAAGATTGGGATTACAAGCCACGTAATCACACTTGTGGAAAATAATGTTCCACTTCAGCATTATTTAAAATGAGGTAAGACGGGGACCCCTTGGGTGGTAATGGTAGCAAAACACGAGGGTGTGTTTGTTACAAAGTTCATCACAGACCCCTAAGTGAAAACTGCCACAACCATAGGTATGTAATCTGTACTTTTCCCAATTTAGTAAAGCTAGTTTTTTTTTTGAAAAAGATGGTTTATATTATGTGCTTGGTAGGCAGTCCCTACCTGATAAGCACGATAATTGCCTATATCTTATATAGGTAATTAAGATTATCTGCACAATTATTAAAAGATAAAACAGGTAAAAATCCCAATTTGAGCAAAACCACACAAAGGCATCAAAGATGAACAAACGGTAGTCAACAGAAAAAAGAGACCAAGTACCGGCACTTCGGGGTCAACTACAGACGTCAAACGGAACGAAAAGGAGAATAATGCACAAAAGAGCTTAACCGGCGCCGGGTTATTCTTATAACCGGCGCCGGGTTTCTCTTATAACCGGCACCGGTCCTTTGAGATTTTTTCGCACATATACACAAACCAGTAGCTTAACCAGCGCCGGTTATGTCAAAATCTCAGATATCCCCTGCGTTGAAAGAAGAACAGACACCGGTTATGTCTGAAATCGGCGCCGGTTAAGCCCGATTCTGCACAAAACTTAGAGACGTGCAGCCATATTTTGATTGGAAAAATCCACCTTCCTTATGATCTAATCAAATATTTCTTCCATGCCTAATTGTTGGACTCAAATAGACTAAAAGATGTTAATTTTTAGCCTATATAAAGCCCCCAATTCATCAAACAAAAGGATCATTCCATCTTTGGAGCTTAAAATTCAGTTTTTATATTTTATTTTTGTATTATCTTGAAAAGTTGGAGAAGAAGTCATTTCTTTCCCCTACAATTGGTTCTAGGTTATTTTTCTTGTATGTTATTATATTTTCTTGTTCTTAGTTATAATTTTAATTTGTGATTAGCATGAGCTCAAGAAGCTAAATTCTTAGCTAAGGTTTGGGATGAACTTCTATGCCCGTTAGGTGTTTGAAAAGTTCTAAACCAACAAATTGTGATTTATCCTTTATATATATTGATTGTTTATGACTATGGTGTACAACATAGAAGTATGTTAAATTTAGTTTATACTTGCAATTAACGTTGATGTCTAAACTATGAACATTAAAGGATAAACATATATAGTACCGAGAATAGAAATATATTTGCTCTTATATGATACGGGTGTGATGTCCTGATATTCAACGGGGGTTTTCGGTAGATGAATGTAAGCTGTAACGGGACTTACACGTAACGAAAATCACGCTCTCGCTACCTTAACTGGAATTGAGAATGCATTAGCGATATCATATTTATAATTATTGGCAAAGAACTAATATTCAACCTTATTAAAGCATAAAAGTGATTCCCAGAGCCTTAGTTGTTATTATCATTCATCTTAAACTCATAATTAGTTAACAATTATCTTCTTGAACAAAAAGTGAAAAAACCAAAAATATAAAACACGAATCAAAATCCCTACACTTTACTCATTTATTTATTTAAAGTCATCTACTCTCTGACTAAATTAAACAACATTTCCTTGTGGATTCGACCCGGTATTTTACCGGAATTTATTACTATATCGACACTTGTACATTTGCAAGTTTAGCGCGGTCAAGTTTTTGGCGTCATTGTCAGGGAAACGGTCTTGTTTAATAAAGTCCAAAGAATATATATATATATATATATATATATATATATATATATATATATATATATATAGAATAAGGATCAAATGAGAAGAGTGCTTATCGTAAGAAGTGAGAATGCATATGGTGCGTTCAATTTAAAATCTGTGCATCAGATTAGCAAAAAAGTGCACGGGAAAAAACAAAGAATATTAAAAAAGTGATGCTAGACGCGGTGGCATTTTCGTAATTAATCGGAACTTTTCTGCCATCGCAAAAAGTGCATCAGATTAGCAAAAAAGTGCATCAGGAATAGGTAAATGTGTAACTTCTCACTTCTCACGTTAAGATGTCTTCTCATTAGAACCCGACCCTATATATTAAAATCCCTACACTTTACTCATTTATTTATTTAAAGTCATCTACTCTCTGACTAAATTAAACAACATTTCCTTGTGGATTCGACCCGGTATTTTACCGGAATTTATTACTATATCGGCACTTGTACATTTGCAAGTTTAGCGCGGTCAAGTTTTTGGCGCCATTGCCAGGGAAACGGTCTTGTTTAATAAAGTCCAAAGAATATATATATATATATATATATATATATATATATATATATATAATAAGGATCAAATGAGAAGAGTGCTTATCGTAAGAAGTGAGAATGCATCTGGTGCGTTCAATTTAAAATCTGTGCATCAGATTAGCAAAAAAGTGCACGGGAAAAAGCAAAAAATATTAAAAAAGTGATGCTAGACGCGGTGGCATTTTCGTAATTAATCGGAACTTTTCTGCCATCGCAAAAAGTGCATCAGATTAGCAAAAAAGTGCATCAGGAATAGGTAAATGTGTAACTTCTCACTTCTCACGTTAAGATGTCTTCTCATTAGAACCCGACCATATATATATATATATATATATATATATATATATATATATATATATATATATATATATATATATATATATATATATACAGGGTAAGGATCAAATGAGAATACCATCTTAGGAGAGATGAGAATGATTCGTGAGCGTTGGATTTGAGCATTGTGCATCATGTAAAACAGAAACGTGCATATAAAAAATTGGAAAATGTGCATTTCGTCTGTGCAAATTTTTAAACGTAAATGTGCACATTAGAATTTTGCATTACTTTAACTATAAATGTGCACTTTTGTGAAGGATAAAGTGCATCATTTTGGAGTGTTCTCATTTCTCAGGTTAAGGAGTGTTCTCACCGGAACCGCACCCTATATATATAAACAATCACTCAAAAATCCTTAATTTATTTTACTCTTCACAACTTCACTTGATCTTGGAAAGGTTTATTTTTGTGTGTGTAGATATTCCTTTCTGTTTACATGCATTTAAGAAGTCAAGTTTCTAAATCTCTTGAACAACTTGATCTTGAAATAGAACAAACTTGCAAACACATTCGGAAGGAGCATAAAACCACAAAGATGATGCCCACACTAAACGAGAGGAAGAGATCGTTGTTGCAATTTTCCCATCATGCATTGTACTAAGCGAGGAGGCGAGAGACTATGAACTAGCATAGCTACTTCAACGTTATGCCTCAGTTTCATGGACATTCGGGGGGAAATCCACTGAACTTTATCACGAAGTTTTATGGATTTCTTCAAGGGATTCCAATGAATAAGCTCGCCGAAGACGATCTCAAGCTCAAATGTTTCCCCCATACTCTCAAAGGGGCAGCAAGATGATGGTCTCTAAAGCTTGATGATGCCTTATGGGCATACCGGACGGCCTATAAAATTCCACTCGGTATGTCCCCTTTCCGGCTTGTTTATGCAAAACCAAGTCACCTCCCTGTGGAACTTGAGCACAAATCTCGTTGGACCAGTGGCGGATCCAGGATGAGAACTTATTGGGGGCAGAAAAAAATGCATCACAAAAAAGATTAATAAAGTAGTAATGTAATATTACAATAATTAAAGTCTTACCAAATACATCACAATTGTTCACGGCGAGTTTTCATCTTTTGAAAGAGATCCATTACAGTTTCATTTGTAACAGTTTCAAACACATCTCTTTCAATAAAACAAGTCAGACAATCACTCATATACCTATCGCCAATTCTATTGCGCAAATTAGTCTTCACTATTTTCATAGCGGAAAAGCATCTCTCTACGGTTGCTGTGGCAACTGGCAAAGTCAATGCTAACTTTAAAAGCTTATACACCAAAGGATGTGAAAGATGTTTCCTTGTATCCACCATCACTCGAGCAAGATCACCAAGACTTTTCAATCTAGCAAACCTTTCATCCGCTAACACATTGTCAATGTAAATACTGACTTGATGCTCAAGAGTTCTGCGTTCCACATAACTGAAGTCACTTGGATAAAATTCAGCCAATCTCAACAACTTTGAAGCATCAAACTCACGGGAGGAATCAATCGGACTCAAAGAGGCCATGCAAAGAAGAAGCTCAGAATTTACCTCATTGAAACGGTCATCAAATTCACTAATTTGCAAATCCATTATGGTATTAAAACATTCATACTCATAATGATGCCGATTAGTGATATTAGTTCTTTGACGTGGCCTCCTTGGGTTAACAAAGTCCTCATCCATATTAAGCTCAGAAATTTCATGCTTCTCACAAAATTCTAAGATCTTCCTCAAATGTGAATCCCATCCATCAGCTCTTACCTTAAGCAATTGTTGCTTTGTTGTTTTCACAAGTGAAACAGCATTCAATATGTCTTGATCTTTCTTTTGAAGAGCCACTGACAAAGAATTTGTGAGTCCCAAGATAAGCAACATCAACTGCAAATAAAACACAAATTTAAATGATTGAAAATATGTTAGAAGACCATTAGTCTGGCGTCTTTTCACACTGTCTACGCCCTCTACTTCAATGTACTCAAGGACTTGAACAACTGATGGAAACAGTTCAATCAAATTGAGAAGTGTTCTATAATGGGAACCCCAACGTGTATTTCCCGGTCTTTGAAGGGCTAGCTCCTGATTTAATCCTGTTCCGGTGCTAATTTCACCATTACTTATAGCTTCTTTAACTTTTTCTTGATGACTTTCTCGAATCATATCTCTCCTTTTGCAAGACGCTCCAACCACATTTAATAAAAGAGATGTCATTTCAAAAAAATCACCAACATCAAAGTGTTTCTTCGAGACCGCCACAACAACTAATTGTAGTTGATGAGCAAAACAATGGATATAGTACGCCGAGCTACTTTCTTTCATGATTAAAGCTCTCAACCCATTGAACTCACCTTGCATATTGCTTGCACCGTCGTACCCTTGGCCTCTAACATTTTTCAAACTCAGGCCATATTCAGAAAATACAGAATCAATAGCAGATTTAAGAGACAAAGAAGATGTATCCTTCACATGAACAACACCAATAAATCTTTCTTTAACTATGCCACACCGATCAACGTACCTCAACACCATAGCCAATTGCTCCTTGTAAGACACATCACTAGACTCATCAACCAACAAACTAAACACATCATCACCTATCTCCTTAAGCACAGAGTGAACAACTTCCTGTGCAAAACAATTAGCAATGTCTTTTTGAATGCTAGGAGCAACAACTTGATTATTTCCTGGAGCATTTTTCAATACAACCTTACTCACAGCATCATTTTGACTAGCAGTATATTTTACTAGTTCCAGAAAATTGCCTCTATTGTTGGACTCTTCAGATTCATCATGACCACGATAAGGCAGTCCTTGATGCAATAAAAATCTTGAAACATCAATAGAAGCATTCAAACGAATACGATATTCATTCTTCACAATTTCACTTTGTCTATGCAAAGCAACAACAATTGACTGGTCTTGGTTCATTAAATCATCACATTTTTTAAGTGCCTTATTGTGGAAACTATTTATATTACCCACATGAGAAGCTAATCGCTCCGTTTTATTCCAACTTGAGAACCCTTCAGTTACAAATGCATCATTCCCAGCACGATTCTCAAAGTGATCTCTAAACAAGTAACAAGGCAAACAAAAGGCTTTGTCATCTTGTATACTATATTCTAACCAATTAGGATATTGATCAAACCATTTAGAGTTGAAGCGTCTTAAAGTCTTCCCAATCTCTTTTTGTGGGAAGTCATGACCACGTGGTTGACAGGGTCCTTTAATCAAATATTTTCTCCTGATTTCATCTATTTGATTAGGATGGTACTCAGAAATTTTTCTTCTTTTTGCGGGATCTGAGGGAAGCTCATCCAAATCAACTTGTTTAGGTATTGATGAAGAACATTGAGATGCAATATTTGAAGCATTATTATTTGAACTACCCGGTGAAGGAACGGTAGCCCAATATCTCTTCATTGAGTATTTGAGTCTGGAAAAGAAGTTAAACTAAAATTAACTGTTTTAATACATTCATAATTTCATACATTTCATTTAACTACCTAAAATAATATATATTTTACATTTAGGGTTTCTACTTTCTAATAGTATAAAACATTCTAAAATTGAATTAATTAACAATTTCAGTAGCTCATCAGCTATATTAATTCTAATTGAACCTTCTAAAATATTTAATCTATGATGTGAATAAATTTAAAACACTATAATTATTAATTAGTTAAATATACTAATATGTATATAATTATTAAATATTAACTACACAAATACACAATAGGAAAGTAATCAACACTCCAAATCAACACTCCAAATCAAGTAATCAACACACCGTAATTGATAAAATATGACAAATTAAAGTGAAAAGGCTTACCTAGTTTTGATTTCCGGCTTGGAGTTGGCTAAATGGTGGTCGAGTTCAGACCAGTGGTTCTGCGGCCGAGTTCAGAGTTCTTCAGGTCGGTGGTCGCGGGTCGCCTGGTCGCCGGTCGGAGCAAGGAGGTTATGCGGCCGAGTTCTTCTGGCTTCTGCGTCTGCGGCTGAGCGAGTGAGCGGCTCCGTAGTCTGCGCAAGGGGTAGAGAGTCGGGGCTAAGGGAGTAAGGGCTGAACGGGCTGGAAGATTTTGGGTTATTGGGGGGCAGGCCATTTTTTTAATTGGGGGCAAACAGCTGGGCTTTTCATATTTTTTAAAAAATTAAAAGGGTTTAATGGGCCTTTATTGGGGGCAGCTGCCCCCCCCCCCCCCCCCCCCCCCGGGCCTTAGTGGATCCCCCCTGCGTTGGACTATTTCCCAATTAAATCTTGACACCACACTTGGGAGAGAAAAAAGGATGCTCCAAATTAATGAGCTAGAAGAGCTTTGAAGGGATGCATATGAAAACTCCCAAATCTACAAGGAAAAGGCCAAAGCTTGTCATGACAAAAACATCAACCGGATGGACTTCTACGTTGGGCAAAAGGTACTACTCTTCAACTCAAGACTTCGCTTATTTCTCGGAAAACTCAAATTCCGATGGTCGGGACCTTTCACAATCACCGAGGTCCAACCATACAGGTCAATGATGATTCAACACGGTGATCAAACACCTTTTCTTGTAAATGGTCACCGACTCAAGCCATACATGGAATATAATATCACCTCGGCAACCATCGCTTGCCAATTGGAGGATTAAAAAGGTATGTTGTGTCCGGCCTATGACGTTAAACTGAGCGCTAATTGGGAGTCAACCCAACATAAAAATTTCAATTATAAATAAACATGTACAAATTTGCATGTTTATTTATAATTGAAACAAAAAAAAACCAAGTGAAAACCGGCGCCGGTCTAGTGACCAGCCGGCGCCGATTATGTCGAAAGTCGGAAAGCAGGGGCGAGGCAGTAGCTTAACCGGTGCCGGGTTACCCCTATATCCAGCGCTGGTTATACTGTCAAAATCAGAACAAGCCCGTTTTTTCTTTCCTTTCTCACGCAAAAAACAAACCCTTGACCGAAAAAGCTCAAATGAACGACACCCCAACCCCCATTTTCCATAGCTATTGGTCTCTAAGGTCAAAAAGCTCCAAATTCATCCCTCTTAAGGCTCCATACCACTCACAAGTGCTTCTTCTTCCATTAATTTACGGTATTAAGCTTAATATCCCCAAATTCAAGCATTTTCGAATTTCTTCATTCCCTTCAAATTTTTAGCAAGATATGTGTTTATAATTATTGAATATTGATTCCTTATGCTCATATGATGTATACAAACATGATTCTTGCCAAAAATTTGAGGATTAGAGTTGAAAATTGGGGGAAGTTCTTGAAAATTTTGAGGAATTTCTTAATTAATCTTAAAATTCCTACTACAATTGATGATTAGAATGGTATTGGAACACTTTGTGTTCATGTATACACATTCTAAGCGCAATTGTTTCATTAATTTGAGATTAATTTTGAAATTTAGGGGAAATTCATAAAAAAAAATAAGAAAGATACCTTGAATTGATAAAGTTTTTGATATGGTGTTTGTATTTTCTTGTAACCTTGGAGGGATGGCTCCAAAAAGAAAGCAAAACGATGGTGCCTCCTCCTCATACTCAGCCACCCGTTTCACTTCCCGTGAAAATGTGGAGTGGTACGAGGCAAAAAAAAATGGAATATTGTGGAGGAGAAAACAGTTCACCATGAGATTGACAATGTTGCTCCAATGTAAATTTATGTGCATTCCATTATTTTGAAGGTGTTTGATAGAATGAGAATTGTATTCATAATGTTCTACGGAGTATAATGTTTTATAAGACGTGTTTTCACATTTTTTTATTGGATAGTTTAATTGCTCTTTTGGTTTTTATAAGTAACCTAGGGGTGGACTGAACCGGGCCGAACCGGCCCGTGAATCGGGCCGTCCCGCTACTGTGCGGGCTCAGATGGCCGGTTCCGAGCTTTAGCCCGGGTTGTGGGGGCCTGGCGAGCCAGGTTCGGGCCCTGTTTTTCTTGAACCGGCCCAAGCAGTCCGGGCCGAGCCCGGTTCTTTATTTTTCAATTTTTTTTCCTTGGGTAGGGTTGGGTGTTTTGGGGAGGTTTGACGGGGGTGGGGGGTTAATTAGAAAGCAAAATATATATATATTAATACATTGGACCGGCCCGGTTTGGCCCGAACCTGGTATCAAACCGGGCCAATTCTGGGCCCAACATCTGGAAAAAAAGCTCGTCTTGAACCGGCCCGGGCCCGGTCCATGCCTAAAGTAACCTATAGTTTCACTATAAATGAATATTATTCAACCGAGTATGAAGCCAAAAAACAGTAAAAGTTCATTGGGGTAAGGGCCAATTCTTTTTCTTATAGTGATTTTTCTAGGCTTAAATATGTTTTTGATCCTGCAAATATGACACACTTTGTTTTAAATCCCTGCTAAATATTACTTTTGTTTTTCATCCCTGTAAAATGCACTATTTTGATTTTAGTCCATCACTAACTCCAAAATTACTCTACATCGAAAAAGAGATTACCATTTGCACAAATCTACTAGATCATCATCATTATCCAAGTGCCACAAAAGATCCCAACTACGATGGGGTAAGGGGGGGGGTCGGATGTACGCAGTCTTACCCATGTACTAAAGCACAGAGAGACTGTTTCCGGACGACCCATAGTGAACATCGCGTCCAAAAATGCTTGGACTGACCGCCAGAGATGGACCCACTAAAAGTCCCACGGGGTCCCGGGACCCTGTGCACCTCGAAAAAATACATATATATATTATATATAGATTATATAAAATTAATTATTCAATACATATTTACACAAAAAACAACTTTAGATCCAAAAGAGCGGAGCAGTGCAGCGGTGACGGGTGCTTATTCCAAATATGAAGTCACGGGTTCAAAACTTGGCCTCTTCCTTTTATTACTTTTTTCAGTACTGGGCTTGTACAATGTATATGAATTTCCAACAAAAACTTCAATTTGGTTCATTTAGCTCATTGGTTGAGTATGTCCTTTGTCCAAATGACTAGAGCTCGAATCCCAGCTCCACCGTTCTTAATTTTTGCTACTTTTCTCCAATTTACTCCTTATTTTCTCTTAAGGAAATTTCACTTTTGTTATCCCCCAACTTGAACTTTTATTTTCTTCATTTCTTCACGCTAAATGTATCCAAATAACATCAAATGTACCAGAAAATACAAAATACACGCATAGGACTGCACTAATACAAATTAACGACAAATAATAAAAATATGTACAAAAGTACAATTGTAATAACTAATATTATTAACAAACTAAGCCTAAAAAGTGTGTAAAATATAAGCACATCAGTCGACCAGTTTTTTTTCTCTGCTGCTTTTCTATGCATATCTTTTTTTAATGTTAGATTAAATTAATAAATTTATGTATTTATAAATGTTATTTTCAATTTTATACGATTTAGGATGATAAGATATTTTGATGTTGTACCCAAATTTAAAGAAATCTAGAGTACCGGGAGTAGTTCAAGTGTTAATTCAAATGATTCACCATTAGTAAATGAAGAATTGGATCAATTTTTTATTAGTTTTATACTTGTATTAATTAGAGATTAGAGATATAAAAGGGTAGAGACCCCATGACTCCGACTTTCTAGATCCACCACTGCTGACCGTTGTTTCATAACAAAGAAACGCAGACAGTTTAGTAAGCCATTTTGTTTTATTCCATCATATTCTCAAGACAAAAAATAGTGTCTTTGGCTCCATTGCAAATGATGGAAAATAAATCTACTAGATACGTTTAAATTTATTTTTTTATAATTTTTTTGAGACTATTATAAGAGTTAAAACAATGTAAACCTAATTATTTACATTTTTAAAATATGTATTAAAAACCTTTTCAAATTAAAACCAAACACTTTTTGAAGAACATGACAAAGAATTAAAGGAAACCTATTAGTCAAGGTTGTTTAAATGTTTAATTGTGAAGCAAATGTTGTTATCGTCAGACGTCAGTGAAGGACTAAAAATAAAACCAACATATATTCCAAGGATGAAAATCAAAAAAATAATTTTACATGGATGTAAAACAGTATATTTGCAAGGTCTAAACACATATTTAAACCATTTTTTGTAAGTATAATTTATACTCCCTCCGTCCCTAATCTTTCTCCCTTTTCGGCTGGGCACATTTATTAAGATAGTGGGATTTGTGTGGTGGAGAGTTGTGCAGAGGAGAGAGAAATGTGTAAGAATGTGTAAGAATGGTTGTGAACCACAAATTTTTTGCTAAAAGGGGGAAGAGGAGATAATTTTGGAACGGACGAAAAAGGAAAGTTTGAAGATAATTTAGGGACGGAGGGAGTAATTTTCAGAATAAGCCATTAAAAAGTTCTGAACCCAGGCCTGGAAAAGCATAGGACCAATCCTGATTTGCCTACACTAATCTTAAATCTTAATGTTGTTGACACCTATTACCAATTCATGTGTAACATGGCTCATTTCAAACAAAACTCAAAAGATTTGAACTTATCAAAATGTTGGATAGTTATAAAAAGCTAATTTCATGTGTTAATAGGTTTCACGTTCTACCTAACTAATTGTGTTTATCTCAAGGGGTAATGATTTAAATTGTAACATTATGTATTATTAGAAGCTTAAAGCGTCCAACGTTTGTTATACAATTAATTTTGTGTGATTCCTTAAATATGTGGTGTTTTGATTTAGCCTATTAATTCAAATCTGGTAAAATCTGCTTCTAAAATGTGTACAACTTTACAGAACATGTAAATATGCTAAGCAATAGATGTTCATTATAATCCGACAACTCTCAGTGAAACGAAATCAAGCTGGCAAAAAATCTGGACCCATACCGTAGATTAACATGCTGTGTATGCTATTGTTTATTTGGCAGAGTTCATATTCAGCTTACATGTTGCCTACTTTACAGGAAGTTGCCTACTAGCCTGCCATTGTTTTAAAAAATGCAGAGTTCATATTCAGCTTACTTGTTGATGTAGAATAATACCAAAACATGTAAATTAGCTTTCAAAAAATAGGGAAACTTTCATGGATGTGATAAGTTATTAGTTTAAATATGCTAAGAATTTACATACTACAATCCCAGTTGATTCTACTACCTCAATAGAATCTTAACTTAGTGCTTCCTTCCCATAGGATCCTCTCTATCTTTATCCAAGTTCCCTGGATCTTGAGAAGGCTTTTCACTAACTGACCACTTACGTTTATCATCTCCCCGTTGTGCTGAAGGCAAATTTTTACGATCAGCTGCTATGTCCTGTTAAAAGAAAATAAACGTATGTATAACAGGGAGGAAGAATACTGAATAGATAACCCTTTAAATGTGTTGACCATTATGTTGTACGTTGCTAAAGGTGTTACTACCTCTTCAAATGCTGTACTGTCTGTCTTTCTAGTCTCACTAAAAAACTGCAACCCCTGGATGTCTCCATTTTTTATACTGACTTCAAGCTGCCAAAATGAAATGGACAATTAGGAAACGATCGGAGTCAATTCATCGTATTTTTTTGTGAGATGAAGATAAAGCACCTGAATATGTAGAATGCACAAGAGAATACTCGCAACTGGAAGCCAGCTATCCTCAGGTGAGAGTGAAAGATTTGACCTGCAATGATTCAAAAGATTGAGAACTATAATAGAGCACCAAATCTACTTATAAGCAGCAGTCAACTTCTCTATTCAGACCAAGACAGTAAAAGTGTAAAACATATCACCATAAGCATCAATTACAAATCAAGTGCTCTTGGATGGTGGCAATGTTCGAATTGCATGGCAGATATTGTGGCTGCCAAGTGCCAACCCAAATTTGTTAAGAATGGCTGTCTATATCAGTGTATGGCGGAATTTGAGTCATCTGTCATTATACCATTCTTGCAGATAAGGCAGAAGATAACTTAGAAGACAAGTTAACTCTTGCTTCTATTACAGTATGGGGGGGGGGGGGGGGGGGGGGGGGGGGATTTTATATCATCCACAAGTGCTTCTCAGATGTTTCAAGCAAGCTGATGAATTGCAAGCAAGACCTTTAAAGAAAATTACTTCAACTTTTTGTAATAAATTTTTGAAAATGGTAGTGTGCCTAATAGATTGGTTTCAAAATGTGCTACTAATCTAGATGATGTAAAAAAATGATTACTTTAAAGTCTAATTTACCTCCTCCCACATAACTATCCTGCCTGTTCTGGGGGCCCTTAGGGATGGGGTATCATCCTTAGTTTTAATTTTTTTGATGCAATGAGAAGATGGACAAGGTTGACATAAAAAGTTAACTTCATTAGCTATACAAGTCTTAGTAGGATTACTAGGATATAAAACTCTAGTAGGATACAAAGACTTTTCGGCCTCTTTTTGGGCTTACTTCAACTTTAACTTTCCACTAAATTTAGTACTTTCCCACTTAATCTATTTTTATCCCTATACCAATCATTTCACCTTTAACTTTTTGTGCACTCATTACTTTTTCTTACTTTTGGAGGTTAGATTTGTAAAAACAACAAGTGCATCATTTAATCTATTAAACCAGCGCCAAATCAAAATGTATCTTGCATTGTGGGAGGGAGAAAGAGTATTTGGTAAAATAGCACCTTGGGATAGTTGGCACCTTGCAGTGTTATTAAAGGTAGATTTTGGATTATGGTCGATGGCCAAGATTTGGTCATATAGTACCCCCATAACACACACCATTCTTCACAAATTTCATATGGCAGTCTGCAATATTTCGCCATCCATTATGGACGCCATCGAGAGCACTGAATTAGCTTGTTGCCACAAGAAGCCGAAACAGAAAAATATTCAAGCTGAAGCTTCTTTGGTTGAGTGGTTCTACTATTAGCTTAATCTATTTTGCATATTACTCTTTTATCTTCTTTCTTTTCTAAACAAATTAAATGAAACATGTTAATTCATTATCCATTAGTCTTATATCATTGATGTTAGCACTTTTTAAAAGTATTGTTATTTTTATTGTCTTTAAGTTTCCATTACTAATACTTATTTCTATTTAAATGTACTCCAACAATACTAATAAGATTACTAATAGCCGTATTAGGTTATTTTTTGTTCATAAAAATGATAAAATGATTCTAAAATAATAATAGTATCACTAATACGTATATTAACAGTTCATTTGATGACGAACTAAAAGTCCAATAGATTTCCTCCAAAAGAAATGCATTAACATTTTAAGAAAATAGAATAAGCGAAACTTCAAGTCTTCAACAATATATTCGTGAAAAACTAAATGTACATAGGCGGTGAACTGAAATCAAGCTACACAAAAATGAAAAATAGGATGTTATAATTGTATATAAGATGAACTTTCAAATTGGCATTAGCGATGAGTGTGTCACTGCATTGAACGTTTACTTATTACAAGACTCGCTGCATTTCAGGCTTTCAGCAACCCGATGACCCGATGAGTCTGGTTACACAACCAATAACTCGGTTGCAGCTAAACATACAAGATTGAAAACAGAAATAGGCGCATCATAAATAGAGCACCTTTTACGGTTTTAATTTATACTACCTCCGTCTCACTAACATTGGGACATGAGAAAGTGGTGGAGTTATTAAGAAAATTGTTAGGGATCTACCTATGTTAGGAGAATTGGGCTTAATAGAATGTTAGGAATTGGGCCTATTAGAGCAAGAATAATAATAAGTGTATTAGATTAGTATAAATAGAAGAAGCTGGGAGAAGTAAAGTAGGCTTTTAGACATTTTGGTCTTGGGACTGGGAAGGATACGAGACTGAACATCTCTATCTTTTTGGGCTTCGGCTTTGGGGGGCTTTGGCCTTTGTACAGATTACTGTTCATCTTCTTCAATAAAGATTACCTTGTTCATTGATATTAATTTCTGTAATTTCTGGATATTTGAAGTTCTTATCAAAAATTGGGTTTATGTGATTGATATTGAATTGATAAATTAAGAATAAAATAAGAATGATTTAGAACCATACAAATTTTACCAAATTTGGTCTGAGACAATCTTAGTGGGATGGACCGAAAAGGAAAGATGAGACAATCTTGATGGAACGGAGGGAGTAGTTTTTAAAACTATAAATTCTCACTCAATATGTGTTTGTGCCTTCATGGACATGGATGAAGATAATGTTGATCTTGCTCCAAATGACGCTTAATCTAGGATATAGGCAATTATGATTGATAAAATGATGGAAAGTCATTTTTAACTCTTCATAATGATGCTAGTTATTGTGAACATCCTTCAATATATATGACATAAAACTAACATTATTAAAATAGTATAGCATATATTTTTAAAATTTTACTGATATGGAGCCGAATAATAACGGATTAATCCCTAGTGACCGTTCACATTCGCTACTATGCCTTTGGTAAAGTAAGTACTGAGTATCGATTTATTAGTCACAAATAATGTACCAAAACAGGCTACTCAAGATAACTAAATGCCGACCAAGGTCAAAGTCTAGCTTATCAGAGGAGTAAAGCAACTAAAGTAAGCAACCCATGTTTCTCCATAGCCACCCCATTAGGCTTTTATAAATCCTTAAAGGAAAACAGCTTCTGCCATTAACTTTCTTGAATTGGTTTTCATAAACTCTTCAAACCTAGAAGTAACAGAACTAGTTTACTCATTGTAGCTCTTCTACATAGTGAATAGTGAAAATGTATAAACTCTTAGATTTCAGCAGCCCAAACTACTGCTTGTTGCAGCCTGATACTTCATGTTATAACAGATAATTTACCTCAAGTAAGGAGCCAAATAAACAATAGCATACACAGCATATCGGCTCTTCTTCGTATCCAACCAAGCAAACACCCAACTCTAGAAATAAAACACCATCAGGAAAATGAATTAAAGCAGAGAATGGAAATCCCTTTTCTGCTCAATGAGCATCGATTTTCAGGAACTTAGCATTAGAATTTAGTATATAAATATACATATATATCAGGAAAGCCTTACTAGCCAATTGAAATATGGGATGAAGCTAATTATCCCCATGACAGCTAATCGGGCATCGGCAGAGTCAATCACCGAGTCGGTTTCATCTTCATCAGGCGAAGGAGCAACAGGGAATACCAGGGAGTTGAGAATGCAAGCGCCAATGGATACGGCAATCGGCGCATCATTGACCAACTCCGCCTTGCACTTACCAACTCCAAATCTTCTCTACAACCCAAAATAGAGCGGGTGTGAAAAACCAGGATGCATAAACTATATTAACAGATTAAACATTTAATCGGGTTTTCGAGATATGCACCAGATTAAGGCTTTTCCGGGAGCGGCAGAGTTGGTATTTGTTTAGGGGTTTAAAGGACGGTGAAAGAAAGGGTTTGATGAGGACAGATTTTAATGGGAGCAGGGGTGAAGAGGTGGCAGTGGGAGAAATCATGGCTTTGAGCGGGCAGAGGAAGAAGAAGAGCTGCAGGACCAGATGAAGAAAAATCCCCAGTGGGCTCGGTTGCTTGAGTTTCTACGTTCAAGGGAAAAAGAATTGTGCTTTGACTGGTTTCAACGAGTCAATCCACTTGTAGAGTTCTAGTCGTACAAAAATTTTGTGCATATACCAAATAGGGTGAGATTTTGGAAACGGGAACCGTAGAACCAGTTGGAACCGAACCGTTATAATTCGGTTCCGTTCCTACAAATGTAATATTAGTTGTTAACGGTTCAGTTCTTAGTTGGTACTAACGGTTCGGTTTCTTATTTCTATAAAAAATATGTGCACGGAACCGTTAAAGAACCATTTATTAAAAAATAAAAATAAAAAATAGTAATAGTAGTAGTGATAGTAATAACAATAATATCAACATAACAATAATAGTACAATCATTGGTATTTAGCTGACAATTCTAATTTAACAAACGAAAACAAAAGTTTTCAATATTCCACATGAGATTGAATACGTTAAGTTCATTTTTACAAATCAAGTTTTGTTACGCCACATAAATTTTATAAAAATAACTTGTAATTTTACATTACTCTCTTCATGATATTTGAAATTATTACATTTATTGTAAATTAAACAACTAGCAAATAGACTGTAATGATGATTTTATATCCATACACGCAAACACGGTCTGTTTTTTAGATTTAGAAAGACTTGAAGTGGACGTCCTATCTTGCTACCGTGATGATGAACAACCTTCATTGTTATCACATTTTTTTCCGGGGCAAACCACATGTGGTGGAGGAAGTGCCGGGGAACACTTCGCATTTTTATTAATAATCATTTAAAAGTACAAGGAATTGAAAGATACAAGAAAATGAAAGATACATATGCTAAATGGAAAAACTGAAAGAAGAGATACATTAGCGATTAAAATTCCCGGTCGGAATTCCAAGTGACCTTTCATTGTTATCACATAAGTACGTAACAACGATTTTTATGTGCTACTTATTAAATGAAAATTGAAATATTCTTTTATTCTATCAAGTATTCACTTAGTTAAGTTTGAACTTTGATGTTTGAAGTGCTTAGAACTTTAAATAAAATTTTAATACTTGTGTTTTGAAATTTTTAACATTTTTATGTGGTAGAAAGCAATTTATGTGCTAATTCATTAGACGAGGAAAATTTTATTCGAGGAACCGATAAAAGTAAGAACCGAACCGTTTAGTATTGGTTCGGTTCCATAACGGTTCTTGATTTTTTACAATAAGAACCGAACCGATTTCATTAGTTAAAATTTTATAACGGTTCCACCAATTTTGAGTAAGAACCGAACCGGTCTCAGGCCTAATATTACCAAAAATGTACTCTCCCTAATCTCCCTAAAAAAAATTTCCCTTTTAAAAAATAATTAACATTCTTAAATAATATTTAATAATTTAATTAAATATTCAAAACAATAAATTTAGCCCTAAATATTTTTTTAGTTCCTGTAAATATTACGTATGACACACTTTGTTTTAAATTCTTACAAAATACTTTTTGTTTGTTTGTCATTGTTGTAATAGGCATTATTTTATTTTTAGTTCATCACTAACTCCGAAACCACTCTACTTGAAAAAAAGTTATTGTTAATTATCTAAATCTACTAGAAACATTTAAATTTATCCCTTTATAAAAATTTTGAGGCCAATGTGAGAATTAAAAGAATGCAAAACTGATTATTCACATTTTAAAAATATGTTTTAAAAACTTTCTAAAATATAACTACTTTTTGAATAACATGACAAAGAATTAGAGAAAACTTCTTACTCGAGGTTATTTTGAGGTCAAACGGATGTTATTGTCATCGGTCATGGACTAGAAAGAAAACCAACATAAATTTTAGCGATGAAAAACAAAAAAATAATTTTGCAGAGATGAAAAATAATAACATGTATTGCCATTAATCTCATTATACGTAGTATTATATATAGAGTACCTATTAAAATATTTTTCAAAATATACTCAAATTACTTTATTTCATTATTGTCTTTTTTTTTTGAAAGGAAAATTAATTCATTAATCAATTCAAACTCTCAGTGTATAGCTGAGAGATAATACAATCAGGCGGATTACACACCACGTGCAAACCATCCGACATAGAAAGAGCAGCCCTAGCTAATTTATGAGCTACTACATCACGGAACGTCTACCATGAATGACTTCTATCCAAGCTTCATTACGAAGACTGGGTCTTATGTCGTCTAAAATAGTATCCAAATAAGCATCTCCATATCGTTTTACTAAGCCAGTCGCAACCACCTCATGATCAGAATCTGTCTCTAATTCTATCCTCCCCCAATTCTGTGTTTTTGCCCAGGCCAGTGCCTCACGTACTCCAATTGCTTCAGTGATCTCCGCCGACCAGGTTGCGCCTTCCACGTTCTAGCCGCTTCCAATAAATCTGCCATGTGCATCTCTGGCTACCCAAGCCCATGCTCGCCTATTATTGTGTAGATCTAACGCCGCATCCACATTGATTTTAACTTTGCCTTCTGTTGGTTTTTTCCATCCAGTCGCCTGACGTGTCCCCCTTGTTGTGCCTCCGGATACTGTCTGAGTTGTCTTCCAACCGCGTACAACCACTGCTCCCATCTCCAAGCAATGGCACCAATCCGCATCTTGGTTCTTCCCAACTTTGACATTTCGGATCTTCCAAATACTCCAAATATTAGCAATAAAACTACATAGATCTTCATCCTGCAAATTATCAAAAAAGTTTTTGACCCAGTCAGTAAAAGTCTGCCCTTGTCGGGCATATGGGGCCCCCAGATTCCTCCATGACATATCCCGCAAAGGAACAAGTGTTGATCATCACTCGTCTTCTTAATTCTCACCTCACTCCTCTAAGCTCTTAGAATAGTTCATACACAAATATATCATTAGAGCTTAGTTAGTTGGAAGTTTAGATTTATCCTTATAAACTAAACTAGATTGTAATCTCTAGAGAGCTTTGTTATCAAATCCAGAAATTAGGTAAGTGAAGATCAAGTCCATGAGTAACTTTTGACGAGTCAATGTCATTAGTGAAAAACCTTGGAAGACTGAGTAGCCTGGAATATAATGGTGTTTTTATTCCTCGTAAAAAAACTTCACAATCTATGCCTGTGGCCAAGGGTAGATTGAGCACTAAATGTAATGGGTATATTCATTTAGTGAAAATCCATTTTCTCGATGGTGGGACTGGATGTAGGAGGATTACACCACCTCTGAACCAGGATATATCTTGTGTCATCTTCTATTTTCAATATCCACATCACCAACAGTCCTCACTCATTCTCACAACTATCCAAACATCTAAACAGTTTACCAAATCACTGACTAATGAACTATCCAGTTCATTGTAATTTGGTCTTTCTGTTTTCATCCATATATTGAAAAGAGGACTTTTACTAGGTAGGTCAAAATCCTTCATGCTTATGTGTTTTGTCAACTCAAAAAGATCTAAAAGTATTTCACGACTATAGCCTTTCAATGTGTCTAAAATGCACTAGCAGTACCTTGTCACAGCTACCTGCTGGGAATGAGGCCACTGATGTTGACAAACACATCTGGTCATTGTTAAAACAATCTTCCACCAAACTAAAAGGCTCAAAACCTTTGTTACTATAAAGTGTCATATTATATGAGGTCAACACTTCTGTTGTACGTTTTAATATCTCCTAAAAGATATTGGAACTCACTATATTAGAGGAAAAAGGGTTGATAAAAAGAAAAGACATTAAAGTCTATTCACCCCCCCCCCCCCCTCTAGACTTTACCTCACCACGGACCATCAGAAACTATAGCACTGATGGACCGTCCCTCTCCTGAACCGCCGCCACGGAGTGCAGGAGAGTGTAGGGTTTGGAAGCAGCATTTTAATTTTACTGTTTGGTTGCTATATATTTTTCATGATCAAACTGTTTATTTTCTTGTAGGTTACTTTTATTGTTGTAAGACTCTTGCATTAGGATTGGATGATGGAAGACCTACTTTAACCATCGGTGTCTCAATTATGTGCATTATAGGATCAACGAATCATATTGCTTTTTTAAGGTGATTGACACTAAGTTTGGTTCAAGAAGTCTCCTTCTTCCAAAAAATATATATTAATATAAAGATTATCAAACAAGGTACATTAGACACAAAGTTGCTACCCAACTTCTTTCTCGGGTCAATCTAAAAATCCTTTCACTCACTAATAAGACTTAGAAATAATCACTCTAACAAGAGCAAGTCATTTCACTAACAACGTGAGAGCTTTGAAGAAATAATCGACTCATAAGACTTGATGCTTACGACCTAAATAACACTCTCCATAATAAATCTACAATAAACTTGCATACCCTTGTTCTGTGGATTTGAAACAAAACAAAATATGAACTACCTCTACCAAAATGAATAATTAAAACCCAAAATCCATATCGATAAACTAGTTTAATTTACAAGCTCGTTCCTCACAAGTCACAACCACCGTTCCCAATCCCTAACATGCTTGGCGAGTCGACTCCTCCCAGCTCATCACCATTCCATTTTGTGGAACAAACAACTCGAATTCCATAGTCACATCCTTCAAATATCTTCACTTCTAATCATATTTGCTTTCACTCCTTATGTTAGTTATTTCCAACATACCCATCCCTTCCTTCTCAGCCAAATTATACTCACTCACCACCTCCATTAGGTACCAATTACTTCTTCTCTCCTCCTGCTTGTTGTTTCACCATGAAGTTCTAAGCTATAGTTCATATGGTCTTTCTAAACATTTTATATTTCCCTCCAGCAAGTTAGGACATAACGTCTCAACATAACAAATTATACCACATTAGAAACATAAACATAACCACTTTTCGTGATGGAACTCTACCCAAAACCATTCCCTGGCTTCGTTATTCAGCTTCAACATCCTTTTATGAGATTTATTAATATCAAAGGTTACTCAACCATCTCCAAAATTATAATCATCAACCCGAACAAAAGAGCCTATATGGTCCCCAATTATTTCTGCATTTTGTGGAGTTTAAAACTCTATTAGGGATCAATGAACGCACTAAACACATAGAGGTTGATTGTCATTATGTGTGGGTCGCTATCCAGGATGGTTTGCTC